TGCACATGAACAAACTTACTTCTCAAAACCAGTTTTCGGCTGACCAAGCCGCCACTTGGCCACTTATCCGGCGCGCGCTACAAAGGGGAAGCGACGTTGAAATTCATGTTGAGGCCCAGGGCGCCAGTGAACAAAAATTTGGATTCCAAACGCATGTTCGAGTGAACCACCCGCTGGTGGGTCACCCGCGCGGCGCGCGCTACGCAGGGGAAGCGCGTGGAGCACGAATGCCCCAACTCATGCTGGGGCCCAGAATGCAAGTGAAAGATGGGTTGGTCTCAACCAGCGCCCGGTTGGTGGCCGCCCCGCTGGTGCGTCACTTGCGCGGCACTCGCTGCACAGGGTAAGCGCGTGGATCACGAATGCCCGAACTCATGTTGAGGCCCGGCACGCTTGTGAACCAGTTGTTTTGTTTTAAAGTACTTTCTGTTTCTGGGCCAGTTTTCTAGTGGCCCACGCAGGGGTGGGGCACCTCTGAGGTGGGAGCTGCACAGAGGTAGCGCGTGGAGTACGAATGCACCAACTCATGTTGAGGCCCCGAATGAAGGTGGAACGTTTGGTTTATATCAGCCACTGCTCGGTTGACCCACCCGCTGGTGCGCGGTGCGCGGGGGAACCGCGTGGAGTAAGCCAACCCACGCTGAGGCCAGAGCGCAAGTGAAACAATTTGTTTTTTCATCATCTTGTTTCGGGTGACCCACCCGCTGGTGAGTCACCTGTGCGAGGCGCTCTATACAGGGGAAGCGCGCGGAATACGAATCCACCAATGCATGTCGAGGCCTACAATGAAATTGATATATTGTTCCACTGATTTTTTTGATTTCCCGCCCGCTGGTGGGTCATCCGTGCAGCGCGCGCTGCGCATGGGAAACGCGTGGAGTACGAATCCACGAATCCATGTCGGGGGCCAGATCACAGGTGACGCAGTTGTTTTGCGTTGTGAATCATATTGCGGTTTTGGGTGGCCCACCTGCTGGTGGGCCAGGTGCGCGGTGCGCGCTGCACCGGGGAATCGTGCGGAGCACGAGTGTACCAATTCATGACGGGGCCCAGGATGCCAATGAAACAGTAATGTTTTGCCCAACCATCCTGTGGTGTTGGGTCTTCGTTTTAAAGGGACGGTCCCCGCGTCCCGTGGCCCCATAAAAAGGGGGCTCCAGCGAAGGTACCAGTGGCACCGCCCGCATGCGTCCGCCACCACCCAGCACAGCCCTTGCTCCCTGCGTTTCACCCACCCAACACAGCGCTTCGTAGCCCCATAAAAAGGGGGCTCCACCGAAGGTCCCAGTGGCACCGCCCGCATGCGCCACCACCCAGCACAGCCCTTTGCCCCCTGCGTTTAACCCACCCAGTACAGCGCTTCGTGGCCCCCTTAGGGGGCTCCACCGAAGGTCCCAGTGCCACCGCCCGCATGCGTCCGCCACCACCCAGCACAGCCCTTGGTCCCTGCGTTTCACCCACCCAGTACAGCGCTTCGTGGCCCCATAAAAAGGGGGCTCCAGCGAAGGTACCAGTGGCACCGCCCGCATGCGTCCGCCACCACCCAGCACAGCCCTTGCTCCCTGCGTTTCACCCACCCAATACAGCGCTTCGTAGCCCCATAGGGGGCTCCACCGAAGGTCCCAGTGGCACCGCCCGCATGCGTCCGCCACCACCCGGCTCAATTGCGGCATTCACAATTGCATATGGTTGGGTCTTTCGCTTGGTTGATTTTCTCAACCAGTTTTCAGGTGACCCACCCGCTGGTGGGTCACCTGTGTGTGACGCGCTACACAGCGGAATCGTGTGAAGGTCGAGTGCACCAACTCATGTTGAGGTGCACATTGTGATTGCAAGAGTTGTTTTGCGTTGTTTCTGGGCCAGTTTTCCGGTGACCCACCCGCTGGCGGGTCACCTGTGCGGCGCGCTACACAGGGGAATCACGCGGAGTACGAATGCACCTCGAGTCCAACCCAGTGGTCGGGACGGTGCATGTCTGGAGGAGTGCCTTCAACGGTCGTCGATGATTTTGGATATACGTGTTGAATGGCAAGCGAGCAGATGCAAGCGAACAGTCTTAAAATGTTTGTTGTTGTGTTGTCGTGCTCTTATTTTCAAGAAGTAACCAGAATTGATCCCCCCTCCCCGGTAACCATTGCAGTTTCCAATATAATGTTTCCCCTGGGGCTCGCACCCTTTGGTTTTTTTAAGGGTCACCAAACAGCGTTGTTGGGCTCCGAACTACGACAACGGCTCCCGCCAATTACTTCCACAATGCATTCAAAAATCTCGCTCTCGCGCGGGATTCCCTCACACTTTATGCAGGAATTATGCTCTCGCGTGGGACACCCTCGAATCTCAGGAATGACGCTCTCGCTGTGGATTTCTTCAGGGTTTATGTGGGAATCGCGCTATGGTTCGAGACTGCCTCGCGATTCATGCAGGACGCACGCTTCAGCAACCCGCCTGCTCGACCTGGCCGCCTGGACTCGACCCGCCCGATAGGGCCTTCCCACCCGATCTGCCCGTTTGGTTCTGCTACGTGTTTTTTGTTCATAGCCTCCTTTCCTTCCTGCTACTTTCTCTCATGTTCCATCCTCCTCCCTCACCCTTGCTCCTTCCTTCCATCCGTCCTCTTTTCCCTTGCTTTGGGGGCTGCACGAAATACACGATGCAGGTAAGATAGATATACCACTAAGGGGTACGATCGAGGACGAAGAGGGCGGATGTTGAGGCTTTGTGTTATACGTATTGAAGGGCACGCGAGCAGATAAGAGCGAACAGTCTTACAATGATTGTTGTAATTGGTGTTGTTGCTGTGTTTGTTGCTGTTGCTGTTGCTGTTGCTGTTTCTGGGTCAGCGTTCTGGTGACCCACCCGCGTCGTACAGCGGGGAAGCGTGTGAAGGACAAGTGCACCAACTCATGCTGAGGCGCAGGATGCCAGTGAAACAATTGGTTTTTATTAACCAGTATTCGGGTGACCCACCCGCTGGTGGGTTACTTGTGCGGAGCGCGCTACACAGGGGAAGCGTGTGGAACACGAATGCCCCAACTCATTTTGAGGCCCAGAGTGCGAGTGAAGCGCTTGGATGTTCCCTAACAGCGCTAGAGTGACACACCCGCTGGTGGGTCACTTTTGCTGTGCGCGCTACGTTAAGGAAGCGTGTGGAGTATGACTGCACAAGTTCATGTTGAGGCCCTGGATGTCAGTGAAACACTTGTTCTTTCTCGGCCTGTTGTTGGGTGACCCACCCGCTGGCGGGTACCCTGTTTTGTACGCGGTGATGGGGAAGCGTGTGGAGTTTGAATGCACCAATTCATCTTGAGGCCCAGACTGGAAGTGAAACGTGTTGTTTTTCTTAAGTTCTCAGGTGTCACACTGGCAGGTGGGTCGCCTGTGCGGTGCGCGCTACGCAGGGGAAACGTGTGGAGTACGAATGCACCAACTCATGCTGCTGCCCGGAATGCAAGTGACACGTGCTGTTTGTCTCAAAGTTTTCGGGTGGCCCACCCGCCGGTGGGTCAGCTGTGCGGTGCTCGCTACACAAGGGATGCACGTGGAGCCCGAACGCCCCAACTCATGTTGAGAGTGGAATAGTTGTTGTTTCCCCCGCTTTACCTGCCTGCGTTGTCACATGGCATGGCTTGCGGCAGAATTTTCTCGGCACCAGTGAGGGTGTGCACGGACTGGTCCCTCGGCGCGGTCTCGATCCACTCCAGAGCGCAAGGCGCGTGAGGTGTAGCACGTTCGCGACCCAGGGAGGGTGCGCACGGGGTGGTCCTTGAACGACGTATGTATCCACGCATGGGTCGCAGGGCGTGGCAGGCGGGGCCTGTCGCCAAGAAGGGGGTGCGCCGAAATCTGTTCCTGAACGCGGAGCGACAGGGCGGTCGCGGGGACGTCCCCGGCGGTCTGGTTTGCACCGCCTTTTTTTTGTTTTCTAGATGTGCACTACAGCGCTAGGAAGACTTGTTAAAACTGATCCCCCAACTTGTTCATTATTAGCAGTATCAGCACGAGTGTTACCTTCATTATTCTTATTCGTACGCTTGCTGGCGTTGCAAGTTGCATCATGAATGGTTTTGTTAACTTGATCCCTACTAGTGATGTGTATATATATATATATATACACACGTGCGTGTGTTTCGTCGTATTCGTATTGCATGATCGTTTTTTTGCGCTATCATTATGAGTTGTAGTCGTGTGAGTATGTGTATTATTGGTAGCATTGCTTTCGTTATCAGTACTACGACTACTACTACTACTGCTACTACTACTACTACTACTACTACTACTACTACTACTACTACTACTACTACGACTACTACTACTACTACTACTACTACTACGACTACTACTACTACTACTACTACTACTACTACTACTACTACGACTACTACTACTACTACTACTACTACTACTACTACTACTACTACTACTACTACTACTACTACTATACTACTACTTACTACTACTACTACTACTACTACTACTACTACTACTACTACTACTACTACTGCTACTACTACTACTACTACTACTACTACTACTACTACTACTACTACTACTTTTACTACTACTACTACTACTACTACTACGACTACTACTACTACTGCTACTACTACTACTACTACGACTACTACTACGACTACTACTACTACTACTACTACTACTACTACTACTACTACTACTACTACTACTACTACTACTAAGTGCTTAATTTTCGCATTTCCAGTAGATGGGCCATTCTTGTAGTGTGTAGTAGGTTTAGTACTGGTCGTAGCATTACTGGCATTGTTGTCCGTAGTATCATTATTATGATTATCATTACCTGTATTGTGTGTCTTAGTATTGTGACCAGGAGTATTCGTATTAGTGTTGTTGTGGTCGCTTCCAAAAGAAAGAAGACAAATATGTAAGGCCCCCCCCGAAGGGGAAGAAGGAGTGTGCACGGCTCGAGAGGCCCAAGAGAGCGGCGCGTTGTCGCAGCTATGCCTGCGGCAGGCGAGGGAGGGGAGGCCTCCGTGGAAGTACACGCGCGCCGACGGTGCGCCGCCCTCGCCGCCGCCTGCAGTGAAGGCGGGGGACCCCAGCCAGACCAACACGGAAGGGGCGGCTCCCCCTTCTCCATCCCGAGTTGGTCATCCCGTGGAGGGAAGGTGGGGAGCGCGAACACGGAGGGAACAGTCGGGATCCTTCTCCCCCAAGACTGGTTCCCCGAGATCTGACGTCACAGAAAAACTGCGACCTCGCAACCGAGAGCTAAGCCGAGAGCTGAACCAGGTAGGCCTCCTGGACGTGGTCCGTGTAGATGGGCTCGGGGAGCCGCGCCGCATCGCAGATGCATCGACGAGGCGGCTCGGTGTGGAGACCGTGTTGCCCCACGCCGACGTCGCCGGTGCACCGGCGATGTGTCGCCGATGCATCGCCAGTGCGTCGGCGATGCGTGGGCGATGCGGCGCGATCCGCCGAGCCCACCCATCCGGACCCCATATGTAGGAGGCCTCGGACCCCAGGGCTGGAGACCTCAGATCTCCGACGATTTGGACTTGTTCAAGCCAGGCGGTCTGCCTCGCCGGGGGCCTCCTGGGGCCCGTCATCGGGCATGGGGCCCCAGGAGGCCCCAGCCAGGCCAGAGAAGAGGGGGTCCCACGGGGGCTGCCTCGGGGCCCCAAACTTTTCGACGATTTGATTCTGTTCAATCCAAGCGTTTTGCTTCGGCTGGGGCCTCCTGGGGCCCGCCATCGGACCCACGAGGACCCGACCAGGCCAAGGCGGAGGGGGTCCCACGGGGGCTGGTTGGGAACCCCAGATCCCCGACGCTTCGACATTGTTCAGTCGGAGCGAGGTGCCTCAGTTGGGGCCTCTGGGGGCGCCCCATCGGGCCCAGGGGCCTTGCAAAAAAAGAATCCGGGGACGCGGAGTGAACACTTGATACAAGGGCGCCCTCGAGGGCGCGAAGTTTTTCGCGCTTCGTGGTTCGGCTCTGATTCCTCCTCTTCCTCCTCTTCTCCCCTGGGAGGCGGCGCGAGAGCGCGAAGCTGTTCGCACTTCGCGCAGCGCGAAGCGCGAAGCTGGGAGCCCTTGTGGTATCGGGGGACGGTTGGGATCCTCGCCTTGCCCAGGAGGCGCCCTGGCCTGAGCCCGGGTCGCTCCCTGCACCCTCCGGTCTGCCTCGGGTTGCGAGCGACCTCTGGCGCCGGGAGGTGCCGGGGAAATCGGCTACGTGAGTTGATTCTCAAACCCCCACTTTGCCAGCCCCCCCTTTCGCCCAGCCCGACCTAAGTCGGGCACGTCCCTCTACAGGAGGAGTGATCAAAAATAATCCCAGAAAGTAGTCAGGGGGACGATTTTTCAAGCATCCCTACCACTGTGGAGTATTGTTTGACAATGCCCTTTTTATTTTTCGTCCAGAATCCGCCTGTGTGTGGACACGCCCGACCTAACTGTAGCCTCATGTGGATGTGTGTTTGTGTGTGTGTTTTTGTTTGGGTCCCGTTTCCAACATTGGCCGCGCTCGCTGCGCAGCGCCGTGACGTGGTCACGCATGACCTGCAGCGAGTCGCCGCACGTGGGGGCCAGGCGGCGGCACCGGCCATGCCGAAGCGCGCCCAGAGTCCAGCAAGGCATGAGTCAAGCAGTGGCGAAGCGTCCTGGCTCGCCTGTAGCCCTACCCAACAATGTTCTGAGAACCTCGAGTGGTTTCCACGAACTGCACCTAGAACAGTTCTGGCGGAGTCTGTCTTGTTTGAGCACATGGGGTCAATGTTCTAAGATCATCGTTTTCGTTCTTGGAACATGTTCGGGTTCTACGAACATTTCGTGGTAGGACTATAGGAATGCCGATACGGTCGGTCCCTGCTCAAGTGAGGGTGCAAGTACGATTTGCCTGGCCGATGTTCGGGGGGGGGCCTGCGCTCAGGGGAGGCTGCAGCACCGCTCAACGCTGTGCTGTTGAACCGAAGCTGATCCGTGCTTCGGTGCGCATCGCCTGCGCGCCTCGTCTCCTTCGTCGCCCTCGTCGGCATCGTCGTGGTCGTGGTGCGTGCTGCTCTGCTCGGAGCTGATGCCCCATCTGCAGGGGGCCAGGCGGAGGAGCTCGGCGCAGCTCCGCCCAAGACCCCGGAGGCCTGGGAAGATCAGATCAGGACGGCCGGCGCTCGTGAGCCTCTTCGGCTAGACGCAAGGGTGACCCTTCGCCTGAGTGGCCTCTGGTGCGGGCTCGTCGGGGTCCCCCCGATCGCTGGGCGCGATGCGATGGCGGCGGCTTGCGCGCCTGGATTTGGCCACGCTGCGCCCCCCTCGTCCGCGCGCCGAAGGTCATTCTTGCCAAGGGCCGCTCGAAGCGAGCCCCACCCTCCCCCTTCAGAAATCGTGGGGGGTAGGGGTAATTAGGGTTCGCATGTGGCCCCAGGCTATTTTTCTCCTCCAATCCCCGAGTTCTGCCCGAAAAGTTTTTGGCCGTGCAGCAGAAGGGGGGAACTCTGGGATGATACACCCCATGGGGGCCACCCAAACGCACCCCTATCGAGGATGGACGCCCCCCCCATCGAAACCGCAGGGCTGGGCCCCAGATTCCTGGCCCATGCGAAAACCTCCCAAAGCCTGGGATACAGTCGGGGCCCTGAAGAATGAACCCTTTTCGTTGGGGAGGGGCTCCGCGTTCCCTAAGTGTTTCACAGCTTGCCTCAGGCTTTCCTTATGCTTTCGATCGGAAGTCGAAGTTTAACTTATGGGAGAAAGGGGCCCCGTTCCTTATATTTAGGGTTCCTTAGGTCAACGCCCCGACTGTAGGGGTCGACTTCTCCCCTGCTATGTAGGAGCCTGTTTTTTTAGACTCTGGCAAGTTTACTTGCATGGACGGGGGGGGGTCTGAGCCTGAAGCAAGCCCGGGGGGGGAGGGCGCGGAAATCGCAAGTCGAAAGGCACTTGCACGCTAGTGTTCGCTTGAAGAGGGGCGAGGGAGGGGGAGGGGGGGGGGGAACGCCATGCAAGTGAACTTGCCTGAGTCCAAAAAACAGCAGGCTCTAGTGTAGCCGAGCCGGCGCCCCCGCAGGCCCGGTGCGGGCCTTCGTCGGGCCCACGGGAGACGGCCCTGCGGCGCGAGGGAGGCGCGAAGGGTCTGGCCGAGAGCTCCCGCGCCCCGCCCGTGCGGCCGGCAGGCAGGCAGGGCGTCGGAGGGAAGGGGGCAGCGTGGTCGTCCTGCTCCTCGTCAGACTTTCTCAGGGGGAGGAAGAGGAGGAGGAGGAAGAGGAGGAGGAGGAGGAGGAGGAGGAGGAGGAGGAGTGCAGGAGGAGGAGGAGGAGGAAAAGGAGGAGGACCTCCCTATCCTCGCTTCTCCCCCGTCGTACCTGTGGTAGCGGTGGTGGAACAGCCCTCAGGTAGATCAGGGAGGAGGAGGTGGAGGAGGAGTGCAGAAGGGGAAGTGCAGGAGGGTCGCCAGCCGCGGTGAGGATTGCGACCACTGCGGAGGTCCTTCACCATGCACGACAAGTTGGCCGCGGCTTTCAGTGGCGAGGACGGGGAGCGTGCGGGGGCAAGCAGAGATTGGAGACGAGCAGAAGCATCACGTAACATGTATACTGTGAATGGGTAGCCCGCTTTCCTTGACCGAGTGTTGCCGCACACATTGTTATACGTAGATGTTGTGTCATGTGGTCTGATTGGATTTCTTGTGCTGCCTTTCGTCGCATTGCAACGCGACAGGAGTTTTGATTGTTCCTGGCTCGGGGCATTCGTGGTTCGATCCAATTGGGGAGATCCACCGTTATGGTTGTTGTTTTTGCTTCGTGGCTTCGTCACGTTATCCACAACGTCAGAAAGTCTGCAATACACCCACCCACCGCGCATGCCCTCCCACCCTTTCCACCGCCTGCCCCTTCTTCCGGGAAGTTTGCAGGCACGCCTGCGAAGCAGTTGGGGGTATGCAGGTCCTTCCGGCACTGTGGCAAGACACAATTGATTCGGCCATGTGCTCATGTGCGTCTCGTACTCGGCATTTTGCTTGCTTGCTTGCTTGACCCTTCTTCCGCAGCCCCCCTCCCTGCTGTGGACAGCCGTCATCCCATGCGGTGTGCAGCTCCTTCCTGGCGCTCACGCCTGCTGAAGATGCGGCCAGCGCGCGAAAAGCGCTCGTCGCTGGTCCCGCAGCGCGGTGCGGCCCGAGGACATCGCCGCGGCGCCAGGCGACCGCGCAGCTGGGACCCCGCCGGGCGGGCGAGACTTGCAGGGAAGCATCGGGCGGGTGGCAATGGGGGGGTGACCCAGATGTGGGGTGAAGAAGAGGACCCTGAAGGGCCCCTTGAGCGCCCATGTCTTCACCCCCCCTGTGGGTCACCCCCCGTGACCACCCGCCCGAAAGCATCGTTGGCATTTGCGCAGCACCGCGTGCAAGGGCGGGGAAGAGGAGAGAGGGGGGAGGAGGGTGAGGCAGCCAGCCGGCCGCAGGAGAGTCCAGAAGTCCGAGAAGAGACCAGCACGGGGAGCAGCGCGCGGCAGCGAGGGAGACGCTTCGAGCTTCGGGGCGTGCCCTCACCTGTTCGGATGCACGCGCGTCCCCCGGGTCGGGCTCGGCTCTGCCCCCCCCCCACAAGGGGCAGTGCCCGTCCCTGCGCTCCCCCTCCCCCCGCAGAGCCCGTGGGCCCGCCAGCTGCACGCGGCTGCGCTGCATCTGCGGGACCCCGGCCTACTGCGTGGGGCTGGGGTGGGGTACAGCCAGGACCCCGGGTAAGGGGACCCCAGGGGGCAGGTGTCGATTAGACGTAAGGGTGACCTTTCGCCGGAGTGACCTTTGGTGCGGGCCTCATTGGGTCCCCCGATCGCCGAACGCGATGCGGTACTAGCGTCTTGCGCGCTTGTGTTTGGCGTGCCCCGCGGCCCCCCAAAAGCCACGCACCAGAGGTCACTCTTACCCAGGGTCACTCTTGCGTGCAGCCGAAGTTGTCAGAGCGGGAGAAGGTACCGATACCGCTGCTCGTCCTGGAGATCACTCGTCGCAACGGCTGGAGTATCCTCGAAACTCTTGGTATCGCTCGGACGTGTGCTTTTTTTTCCCGACGGGGACTATTTAGGAGCATCCTTGATGGCGAAAAAGCCACGCAGGAAACCGAAAAAACACAGGGAATGGACGTCCGAGCGATGGCGGGAACTGCAGTCAGGGCGCACCCTGGAGGAGAGGTCTGGGGCCTCGCGGTGTCGGCACCTCTCTGTTCCCCCAAGAGCGGCTCGGAGGGTCGCACCGCACGGCCTGTGCACCAGCGATGCAGCGCGATGGGGTGCCAGATGTTCTCCATCCCGTTCGGCGAGAATGCATCCTGCGACCCCGTTCGCTATGGCCTTAGGTCGGGCATGTCCCCCTACAGGCCGATGCTCGACGAACCATACATAATATTCCAATCTAATAAAGATACTAGAAAAATCGTCCCCGGACTATTTTTTACTTTTTTTGAGTGTTCCTTCCTCCTCTAGAGCGACAGACCCGACTTAGCTCTGGCCTCATCTGGCAGTCTCCGTGGATGCCGCTGCGGATGTTTCTCGCGCGCGCATACAAGATCGGCGTCTTTGGGGAGCCCGCAGCCCTGAGTAACCTCGTGGGCGATTGACGACCGCACGCTCTCGGGCCACGACAGCTACAGGATGCCCCTCCCCAATGTGCGGGGTCCCCCAGTCGCGTCCGTTCAGCTTGCTACAGGCTTTGTTGCTTTCGACTCTCACGTGCCATGCTCGCGGAGCCTGAGTCGGGCGTTTTGTGCCATTGGACCAGAAACCGTTCCGTTGGCCTCCTTCGTGTTGAGGGCTGTGTGGCTTCGCAGATGTGGGGCGAATGCCTGAGGTTTACGCTCTTCCCTTTTTCGCCCCTCATCTCCAGTAAAAACACCGCGGTGAAAGAAGGGAGGGCGCTTCCCCGATCTGGAAGTGGTTGTGGGCCCAGCGAACAGCATTACACTTTCCACTGCGGAGGGTTACACTGGACCTGGGGACACTCCACGCCGTGCGTCGGGGCACGGTGGCAGATATTGAAAACAGCACGTTGTGCGGTTCCCAGAACAGGCCTCCAGGCCGCATGAAGTGCCATGTTGCGTTATGATATCCTTCCGCCAGCTCATCAGTGAACGCTGTCTGGCGATGTTGACGGGAACCTGGTCGTCCTCATTCATGTGCGTGCCGTCTTTCTCCGCGGGTCTCAGGTGCGGAGCTGCGACTGCTACGCCGCAAGTCGATGCGCGTGTCCGAGCGGGGGGGCTTTTGCTCGAAGTACCCGTTGACACAACAAATGCGAGCACACAGCCACCCCAGTGGCGGATACGAGGGAGGGGCTCTCTGTTCAACCTGGATCCGGTGCCACCTCTGCGCCTCGGGGCGAGGGCGGTCCCGCCGCGCCCCGCCACCCCCACAACGAAACCCCATGGCCAGGCCCAGCCCCTCCCCCCCCCCCCCCCCCCCCCCCACACACACACACACACACACACACACACACACACACACACACACACACACACACACACACACACACGCACGCACGCACGCACGCACGCACGCACGCACACACACACACACACACACACACACACACACACACACGCCCGCCGGAAGAAGGATGAGGAGGAGAAGTCGGGGATCTTCTGACCCGGGTCAGCCCAGACTCCGGTCAGTCAGGACCTGCAGGATCCTGCAAAATCCTGCACCCAAGCCCGGGTCAATGCGAAGGATTTTGCAAGATCTTGCAGGATCCTGCCCCCAAGCCCGGGTCAGTGCGACCCTGGCCGCCCTGCAGGATCCTGCAAGATCGGGCGCTCTGGCTGACCCCCGTTTGCATTGACCCCCGTCTCAAGGCTCCCGAAAAAGGAAGAGGAAGATACTGGGATCATGACACAACGTCCGTTGCTCGCCGCATGCGTGCGTGCTGAAATCAATACGTATGAGCGCAGACCGGCAATCGTGACCCTCAGCCCAGCGCCATCACCCGAAGTTGAATCATCAGCCAGAGCGGTAGTGGTGCCAGTAGTGCGCTCTCTTGGTTGTTAGGTACATATGGCACTACTCCTTGAAGCCATGCACAGGAGCAGAGAGAGGGCGAGGAGAGGGGGAGGGAGAGAAAGAGAGAGAGAGAGAGAGAGACAGAGAGAGAGAGAGAGAGAGAGACAGAGAAAGAGAGAGAGAGAGAGAACAGACAAAACAAACAAAACAACGGCATCCACACCATTCGGCGGCACCCCCAGGTGTGGAAGGCAGAGTGGGCGGGGCCCGTCTCAGAAGGCTCAGCAGGCTTCCAGCCTTCCGGGAAGCTGCCCGCGCCTCTTCGGGAAGGCGGAGGCGGCGCCCCGGAAGGCCGGAGGGCCCCCGAGAAGCCCCGCCGCCCTCCTGGAAGGCCTGCCCCCTCCCCAACTCCCCCCTTCTGCGCGCCGTCGAGCCCCCCTCTCGCGCACGGGCCTGGGGCGGCTCGGAGGAGTGGGGGGAGGGGGGGGGCGCGCGGGCGCCCCGCCAGTCCTCGCCGTGGCGCTGCTCAAGCAGCTGCTGGTCCCTGGACCCTTCTGCCGCAGCCTGCTCTCCGCGCCCGCGGCTTCTCTTCCTTCTCCCTTGTCGGCGGACAGGCTGGGACGGGGCGCGCTCCGGCGCGCGGGAGGAGGTGTCAGCGTCAGGCTGTTCGGATCAGGGTAGGAGTTTAGGGTGCTCGCGGTAGGGTTCTCTGGTCAGGGGCTCAGGTTCAGGATGCTGGGGAGTAGGGTGTTGAGGGTGTGATGGCCAGCGTGTTCGAGTCAGGGGAAGAGCGTAAGGGGTTCAGTGTTAGGGTTGGGCGGCTGGTGTGTGAGGGCAGGGCTGTTGTGTCAGGTTAGGGTGGTACGGTTAGGTTATTTGTGTTAGCTTGCTTACGTAGGCTACTAGGGCTAGGGAGTCTTGGTTAGAGTTCGGGTGTTAATGCATGGGTTGGGGTTCGTGAGTTGGGGTTGGGGTGAATCGGTGTTAGGCTTAGGATGTCAGGCGTGGAGGTAGTGTGTTAGGATTAGGATGTTAGGTTAGGGCTATGTCCATGGGACTAGCGCGGCGTCAGGATTACGGGGTGTCAGGGTTACGGGGTCAGGGTGAAGAGGCTAGGGGGTTCAGGGTTACGGTTAGGGCTAGGGGTCATGATTACGGGGTCAGGGTTAAGTTGTTAGTGTTGGGGTGCTTAGGCGTGGGGGTCGCGTGTCAGGGATCGGGCGCCAGTTTTAAGGCGTTCACAATCCGGGTCAGGCTTATAGGGTTAGGATGCCAAATTTAGAGTGCTTGGGCTAGGGGTAGGGTGGTGTTGGTAATGCTGTCGGGTTTGGATGTAAGGGCGTCGGGGTATGAGCGTGTTAGGGTCAGGGTGCGAACGATGTTAGAGTGATGGGTTTCGGGTGTTACGGTCGGGGCTGTTGTGTTAGGGGTTAGGTTTACGATGATAGGGTTACAGAGTAAGGGTGAGGCTCGTAATATTCAGGTTATGGTGATTAGGGTGTAAGGATTACTGCACTTGGGGGTGGGGTGTTTCTTGTCAGGGTTGGGTCCGTAGCCATTTTGGCTCAAGCCTGCCTGGGCGCCAGGCGGGCGAGGTGCGCGCCTTGTCTCTCTCCGTAGAGTCCCGTCGCCTCGGCGGGCAAAGAGAGCGGCTCTGTCTCAGTCCCCTCGTCCTGCGGCCCTGGCAATGGCTACGGTCCCCTCGCCCCCGAGCGCGGGTCTGGTGGCGGCCCTCGCCCCACTGGCTCGGGCGGCGGCGGCAGGCGCGGCGGAGGGCGGAGGCGGGCGGCAGAGTGTGGCTGCGGCCGTGGCTGCTGCCCTCCGCACTGGCGCCTCCCTGCTGGGCCTGCAGCAGGACGTCCAGCAGACACCGCTCGACGAGGCGGGCGAGCAGGAGGTGGCGACGCGGCTCCTGGCGATCGAGCGGGCGCTCTCGCTCCAGGTCGCGGGACAGCCCGTCCCAGGCGCGGTCCGCCTGGACCGCAACCTCGCCGCCCACGCCGAGATTGGCAAGGGCGCCGGCGTCCTTGGCCTGCCGGTCGCGGAGAAGCGGCGCCGGCAGCGCGGCCGCAGGCGCGGGCGCAAGCAATCTGAGCTGTCCGACACGGCGGGCCCCTCGGATGAGAAAGACGAGCACTGGTCCAACCTTGTCTGCACGGACTCAGACCAGGGCTGCGACAATCCACACTACAAGTACGGGGATGGGGACAAGGAGAAGATCGAGAAGGTGGTGCACGATACCTTCAACCTGATGGACCAGCGGACCTCCACCCTCCTGAGTTTCGAGGGCAAGCAGAAGGAGCTGGAGACCATCGACAACCCCATTCCCAAGAAGGCGCTCGAGACTGACCAGGCGGTGCAGGACACAGACGTTGCGCGAGAGTCGCAGCACAAGGGCGTGCTCAAGGAGTACAACTCGTCGGCTGCCTCCGCTCCCCTCGAGTGCATGAAGAACGAGCCCAGCCTGGGCAAGGGTGGCAAGAGTAAGCCCCGCGGCTCCTACGCCATGGTCAACATTGGCGTGGGTAAGTCGGGCTTCGAGCCGCTTGGGCGCGTCGGCAAGGGCAAGGACAAGGGCATCGGCCTCTGATTCGCCTGCCGTTCGCACACCTGCAGATTTATAGGCTGCAGGGTATCGGCGCTAGCCACGTCAGAAGGCTATCGCTTCTGCCCTCGAGCAAAATGTCAGGGTTGGGTGGGTGGGTGCTGGCGTTAGTGTTAGAGTGAGGAGTAGAGTGTCACGGTAGGGTGCCGAGGGGGCTGAGGGGGCTGAGGGTGTTAGGGTTAGTGGGCGTCGGGTTAAGGATTAAGACGTACAGGGATAGGTTGTTAGCATGTTAGGGTTAGAGTTCGGGGGGGCAACCGTGCTAGGTTTAGGGTTACGGTGTTGAGGTTAGGGCGCTGAGGGTTACGGCGTTAGGGTTTTGGACACTCGGGGATTATGGCTTAGTGTGTTAGCGTCAGGGTATCATGGTTAGGGCCGTCAGGGCTAGCGATTAGGATCCTAGGGGTTAGGGTGTTCGCGATTAGCGTGTTGGGGTTAGGTGTTCAGGGTATGGCGTTAGGGTTCAGATATTCGTGTTAGGCTGCTTGGGGGAAAGGGGGGACGGGGAGTCAAGGGGGGGGGGCGGGGAGGGCTCACTTGGGTCCCAGAGTCGGGAGGTGGGGCGGGGGTAGACCGCCCACCCCTTCTTTTTGACACTGACAGGGGGGGAGGGGAAGGGGGTCCAGGACGATGGTTCGGATGGGCCCAGGGCGGCGGACCAAGAAGGAGAAGACCCCCCCCCTGAGATGCGAAGTTGCTGACCAAAGTGCCGCATCGTTAAAATCCAGCTGCTGTTTTCTAGCCAGGTCGAACTGTGATGGTCCCCAGGGCCCGAACCTGGGCAAGAACGCCCGGCGTGAAGAAATGCAGCGCCCCGATCTCAGGGGTGTCACCCTCTGGGTGAACCGGTGGCGCGCCCTCAAAAGGTTGCTACGTGTATCGGTCCTCGATCCTCAATTGCTCGCTCTCTGACGTGCGATCCGCTCCCTCCTCCTCCTCCGCCTCCTCCTCCTCCGCCCTGCTGCTCCTCCTCCTCCTCCTCCTCCTCCTCCTCCTCCTCCTCCTCCTCCTCCTCCTCCTCTTGCTTGGTATCGCTCGGACGTGTGCTCTTTTCCTCGGCGGGGACTATCAAGGAGCATCCTGCGAGAAAACCACGCACGAAACCAAAAACAACACAGGGAATGGACGTCCGAGCGATGGCCAGCCTGCTGCTCCTCCTGCTCCTCCTCCTCCTCCTCCTCCTCCTCCTCCTCGTTTCTGGTCTTGTCACCTCCCGACCTTTTCAGGCGCTGCCCATCCATCCATCCTCGTCCTCCTCGTCGGCGGCCTGGGCATCCACCTGCCGTCCCCCTCTGTGACGAGGGGCCCCCGCGGGAGGCCGAAAAAACGACTACAACACCTCCCGCCATGACTTCGCCATGGCGCGAGCAGGTTCGGGTACGCGTAGCGGTCCTCGATCATCCATCGCCCGCGCACCGCGCAGCGAGGTCGCGGACCCCATCCAGCGGACCACCGCCCTGGACGCAGGCCGCCCCGGCCGCGTCCCTTCTTGAGCTCCCCTTGTCGGCGGGCCGCTCCTGGGGAAGCTGGCGCTCACCCGCCGCGAAGAGGAGGTCCCAGCCTCGAGCGTATCCCTATCCCTAAGATTGACACGCCAAAAGGCGATGACAATCTTAGGGATCCGCCCTCAAAAAATAAGGGAATCCCTAAGATTGACATCGTGATGAGGAGGTGCCCAGCATAGGGATAGGGATATGTTCCAGGCTGGTAAAGGACGGGCCCTTCAAGCCGAGCCCAGGCATGTTCGCGTCACGACAGGATCATGGCCAGAGGTTTTTTTTCCCTTGTGGCCTTCCGGGGCCCTCGCCGAGGCCCAGGCCTGTCAAGGAAGGGCTCGCGAGGAATGGCTGGCCCTCGGGAGAGGATCGGGATTGTTTGGGGGGGCCTTGTTCACATCGGGTGTTTTTGCCCGGTTCTGGGCCCGGGGGCGTCGCATGTCTGGGGCCCTGTTCATACCGTGGGTTTTTGCCCGATTCTGGACCCAGGGACGTCGCATGGTTGGGACCCTGTTCACGTCGGGTCCGCTGCTGCCCGGTTCCGGCTTCGGGGACCAATCGCAGATCGATTCGATTGCTCGTAAGACAGACCCTTCGCCGTAGTGACCTTTGGTGCGGGCTCACAGGGGTCCCCCCAGCAACGTCGGATCTCAGGCAGCGGGGTCACAATTCGCCTCCTCCTCTTGGAAGTCGAGCATCGAGGAGGAGGGAGGATCGAGGATCGAGCAGGGTTGTTTGAAGTCCCAGATCGAGCATCGAGCAGGCTCACGGGGGCTTGGTTCCTCGGGGAGGTGGCAGCTCCCTTTATGGTGACCCCCCTCTGGCGTTGCCCGAGCCCTGGGGGCAACGGGCCCTGCAGGTCGATCGTCATGTTCGGCCCTCTGCAGTCGGGGCGCCGAAGAAGGAGCCCTTTTCGTGGGGGAGGGGCTCCGTGTTCCCGAGTTGTTTCCCAGTGGGCCGTGGATGTTCCTTTGTTTTTCATGGGAGATCGAAGTTTGACTCATCGAGGAAGGGGCCTCGTTCCTCATTTTCGGGTTCCTTGGGTCAGCGCCCCGACTGTAGGGCATTTCTTGGTCCTGGGGGCAGCCCCCGGGTACCAGCGGGTTGCGGGCCCCGCTTTCCTCTGGTACACCTTCCCTCACGCCACGCCTGGGCGCCCTTTCGTCCCCCCTACCCCCCCTCCTGGGGCTGAGCGGGCATCTGCTCCCCTCGCGCGATGCTGCGATGCGTCGCAGCATTGCCGAGGAGGTAGAGCCGCCTGCCCATGCCTCGCCCCCCCCCTGCCCCTTCTCTCTTCCTGTGCTGCTTGCCCCACTGTCCCTTGTGCTTGCGTATTCGACCTCGTGGACTTCCTGCGTCGCAGCGAGGAGGGAGGATCGTCCCGAACGGTCGCTGGAGGAGGAGAAAGAGGAGGAGGAGGAGGAAGAGGAGAAAGAGGAGGAGGACGAGGAGGAAGAGGAGGAGGAGGAAGGGGAGGGTGAGGGGGAGGAGGGGGAGGAGGAGGATGTGGAAGCTGGAAGGGGGGGCGAGGAGGGGAGGAGGGGGAGGAGATGACCCAGAGAGCAGGGCGGAGGGGAAGTCCGCGCCGGCCGGGCGCGAGGCGTCGGGGGTGCTGGGCGGCAGGGCGCGGACCAGGCCTCCTCTCGAGAAGAGCTGCCGGGCCACGCCGGGCCACGGCGCCCGCGGAGGAGAGAGCAGCCGCGCGCGCGGGCCCCGAGCGCAGAGGAGGATGCAGTAGGGGATCGACTGCAGAATTGATTCACCCCAGACCTGATGTCCCCACCGAATCTGGGAACAGATGCGCGTAATGCCCCATCGATCCAAGAGCATTCGAACTGCGTGTTTCCTGTCTACTCGGCGGGGCAGTCCATGATGCGAAGGGGGAAGAGGCACCGATGCCGCTGCTCGTCCTGGAGGGATCCCGTCCCCACGGATGGACGCGCCCCGAAGTCCCATTCAGGGCGCCCCCCTGGGGAAAGGTCCGGGGAGCAGCGGTCTCCCGGACCGGTTTTTGTTTGTTGATCCCCCGGGGCAGCCGCGCGCGCGGGCCCCCAGCTTCGGATGCAACTCCTGGGTGGTCAAACTCTGATTTTGCCCTGGTCCGAAATCCAGCTCAATCCAGCTTGATCCCGCTTGATCCCGCTAGCGCCGGCCTAATCCCGTTGAGTCCAGTCTTACCCTTCTTGATCCGCGGCCCAATCCAGCGTAAGAGCCCCCCACATGGGGCTCAATCCTCCTTGATCGTTCCGACGAAGACCTCCCAGTAGATGCCTCCTAACCCAGCGCCGCAGGAGGAGGGGTGGGGAGAGGCAGCGGCAGCAGGGGCAGCGGGAGCGGAGGAGAATGCGAGTGCAGGGGGGTCGAAGACAAAAGGCGGCACAGTTAATCATGATTGTGCGCAGCTCCTTGCGGATTTCTTGGATCTGCGCTGGACCCCCTGGCGGCGCCTCAGGCGCTGCTCGTGGCGCGCTCCGCGCGCCAGGGAGGGAGTTCCAGCGCCAATCCAAGAAATCAGCGAGGCGCTCCGAACAATCATGGTTGCATGTGCCCTCTTCGCTTCCCCGAAGGCGGGAGCAGGGGTGAACTGCGAGTGCAGAGGTCGGGAGCAACGTTTTGGGGGGGTATATCTGCGTCCCCCAGCATACTGATGCTATGTGTGCGTCGCCCCGCCAGGGGCGACGCGCACACGGAGAACTCTTGCAGTATATGCGTCGTGGCGGGCGCTTTCTGGCCACAGCGTTCGGGAAACGATATGATGCAGTATGGTCATGCCGTATATGTTCGGGTCGGACGCGCGCCCCCGAGGAGGACGTGTGGTACTTGCCTGTCCTTGTGCGTCCCACTCTGGGGGCGGGAGGTAATAGGCTCAGGGGGCGGCGCATCGACCCCCAGTCGCCCGTTGACCGCCAGGGCCCGACAGCCCACCCCGTCCACGCATGTGCGGAGTCGCCCCTTCGGGGGCTTCTGGCCAATCGCTCGGCGAGGGAGGAGGGGGCCGGCAGGCCCCCCGGGGGTGGTCCAGCGCCGCTTCGAGGCATCCGCAGGGAGCTCCGGACTGTTTGCGCAGATGTCCACTCCTCTGTAAGTTCGGAGGTGGATGGACCTCCTACCCTGACACATCGATTCAGGAATTGGCCGTTTTCGGTTCGCGAGAGGGCGTCGCGGCCGTCATTTTTTGCGGGTCCAGGTCCGTCGGTCTCGGTCCCAGGCCGTTTTCACTAAGGGGAGGTTTACGAAAGGGAGGTCTGTCCACGCCTCTGTAAGTCACCGAGTGACCCCCAGCGAGTGGGAGCACCCGCAGCACAGTGGCCGTGCAGCTCCCGTGCGCCCTCGATAGGGGGAGGCAGAGGAGGTGACCCCAGCGAGTGGGAGCACCCGCGTCACAGTGGCCGTGCAGCTCCCGAGCTCCCTCCATATAGGGGGGAGGCGGAGGAGGAGCAGGGCCTCCGAGGCTCGCGGCCGGCCTGCCTGCCGCTCAGGGGGCGGCAGCGGCGGGGTGCGAGCCTCGGGAAGGAGATCGACTGCGCAACCTTGCCTGGCACCGCTCGGACGTGTGTTTTTTTATCTCGGCGAGGACCTTCGAGGAGCATCCTCGACCGCTTGGCGAAAAAAACACGCACGAAGCCAAAAAAACACAGGAAATGGACGGCCGGGCGATGGTCAGCTTGGCACCGCTCAGACAAGTGCGTTTTCTTCTCGGCGAGTACCATCGAGGACCACCCTGGACCATCGGGCCAAAAAAAACACGCACGGAACCAACAAATGCACGGGAGATGGACGTCCGAGCGACGGCCAGCAATCGATTTATTCGAAGAAGGAAGGAAGCCACAAACATAAACTTTCGGCGCTCCGCGCGGATCTCTTGGATCTGCGCCAGGCCCCCCTGGCGGCGCCCCCAGCGCCGCCCATGGTGCGCTGCACGCGCCCGGCAGAGGGGTCCAGCGCGGATCCAAGAAATCCGCGCGGAGCGCTGACAGTTTATGCTCACGGTTTTTCTTCTTTGTCTATTTCCCGAAAATGGATTTTCCGTCGAGTTACGCAGATTTGCGGAGCATTCCACGCATATCTCGCAGATTCGACGGGAAAGTAATTCTGGGGCCAATCGGTTCTGCAGTCATTCCCCTACTCGAAAGCCCGCGCGGAGGTGGTCACGAGTGGCTGTCCAGCGCCTCGCGGAGCGACAGGGGCATCGACTGGCAGGCCGGCCCGACCATCCAGGCGGCCGGGCGGCCGGGGCAGGGGGTCCATCGCCAGGAAGTGCCTGAAAGATTTGGGCGTCGTTTCTTGTTTTCACACTGGGCGTGTTTGCGCCCGCTTTCGGCCAGGGCTCACGCCACGGGGGGTCAGCCAATCCCCGCCAGTTGACCAGGGTGTTCGAGCCACGTGGGGCCGACGATTCCCCCCTTCCCGCCTTCTGCTGACCCGGGCTCGGGAGCTACAGTCGGGGCGCTGAAGAAAGATCCCTCTTCGTTGGGGAGGGGCCCCGTGCTCCTCCATTGTCTTTTACAGTTGGCCTTCGATTTCCCTTAGGCTTCTGATGGGAGGTCGAAATTTCACTCTGGGAAGAAGGAGCCCAATTCCTTACTTAGGGTTCCTTCGGTCCGCGCTGGGGCCGCCCCGACTGTGCCGTGCGGCTGGTCGGGCTGCGCGACAGGGCCCGGGTCGACCTGGATTCGTGCTGATCCGGACGAGTGCATCCACGATTCTCCTCCTCCTCATCCTCCTCCTCCTCCTCCTACTCCTACTCCTACTCCTACTCCTACTCCTACTCCTATTCCTCCTCCTCCTCCTGGAGAGGGCCGCGGGAAAAACATCAGTGCAGCAAGAGGGGGCCCAGGCCGGTGTTTTTCGGAGCCTCGGAGCTGCAGGCGGATCTCTCCCACCCAAAAGAGTGGCGCCTCGGCCCGCCCCCGCGCGCCCAAGTTCTTCACTCATAAGGTTTGCTGCGGCGACCTCTCCTCCCCCTCTGCTCGTGTCGTCTTTTGGGTCAAGACGAGGTGTTCGCGCCGCCCCGCGCGCGCGCGCCGCTCTCGTGCCCGCGCACGCGCGCGGGCCGCGCGATCGCCCCCCGCAGGGAGAGGTCCTCCCTGGCGGGAGAGGTTGGGCGCCCGCCACGGGCGATGGCGCCCATGGAGGAGGCCCGCCCCGCCCCTCCGCCGCCCCGCGGCAGGGTCGGCGGGCCGCGGAGGAGGTCGCGGGCGTGGCCGCGCCGTGCGAGTCCAGAAGCGGGGCCGAGGTTCGCGCGGTGGCGGCGGACGCGTCGACGGCAAGGCTGGTCACGGCGGGCGAGGACGCTCTGGCAGCCCTCCCGTCGCGAAGGACAGCGGAAGCACCAAGGACCGCCGCGGCCTTAGGGCGTTTGCTGGCGGTCCTGGGGGTTCGAGGCCGCGTGGCCGCGGAAACGCAAAGCCTGGCCCTGCCACGGGGCTGCACCGGTGATCGTTTGGCCGATGGAGGTCAGCGGGTCGTGGGGCCGGCGGCGACGAGGACTGCGAGGTGGACGCTGCAGGGCCGTCGCACGGCGTCGCGCGCCCCGCAGGCTGGTGGACATCTACGCGACGCTCACGGTGTTGGGGCAGGCGGTGCAGCAGGATGGCCGCAAGCCCGACCCAGCGGATCCGCGGTAGATCCCGCTGCGGGATTCAGCCTACCTCGGGGCGGAGACGCCGCAGGTGCGGAAGCAGTTCGCTGTGGCGCTTGACGACCCCGTCCACGTGTCTGTGCTGCACTTATGCTCGCCCGACGCGCGGCCGAGTGAGTACCGCGAGGAAGAAAGGAAGAAGGGCTGGTGGACGCCGGTGATCCACGCGGGGCGCTCGCGCCACGGTTGCTTGCCTTTCGCGGGTGCAAAGGCGACGAGTTCACGCGCGACGCCGAGGACCGCGCGGCGCACGAGGCTCGAAAGTCTCGCCGCGAGGCGGACCTGGCCAGCGGCGGCTCCGAGCTCGTCGAGGTGCACGGGCCCCCGGCGCGTCCAAAGGGCCGAAGGGCGGCGGCGAGAAACCAGCAGATGACGGCGCACGAGCCGCCTGTCGCCGCGAAGGGCCCACGGGGGCGCGAGCGTTCACGAGCCGAGTCGCGCGAGGGATCTCGCTGAGAGGCTGGGCGAGCTGCGCGAGAGGGCTGCCGTGCACGTTGAGGGCGGCAGAGGCAGGCCTGAGAAGGCACCTGGCGCCCGCCCTGCTATAGCCTGCCCAAGCGCGGGGCCGAGGCCCCGGGCGAAAAGCGCAGCCGCTCCCCGCCGCGAGGAGGAGCCGCGTCGGGGGTCGAGAGCGCCCCCAGACCTACGCGGGAATCTGAGCTCTCGGATCCTCGACGCGGCAGCGAAGAGGACCAGCAGCTCACCGCGGGGTGATCCGACTGGCCGCAGCGGGAGCGCCCTCGCGAGGCGCGCTTCCCCGTCGAAGGCCGGGGGTCGGGGGCGGCGCAGGGTCGACTCGTCCGACTCAGATTTGTTCTCGAGCTCGCAGCTGGGTTTTCACTCGAGGCATGCGACCGTCATGATAACCATCCCCATCGTGGGAGACTCCTGTTCTATAGCGAGGCTCTTCTGCGCAACGAGAATCGGGATATGGCCCACCGGGAGTTGGAGAGTCAGGTCGACGGCCGTCGCCCCCATTGGGGAACACCCGCGGCGGAGCCGCCGAGGATCGGCGCGCCCCCGCGGCCAGGCTCGCCAGGCGCCCGTGGCGCCGCCCAGGCGACAGGAGATCGGGGAGTCGGCCCGCGCGAGCGGAGCCCCGCGTCTCGCGCCCAGCTGAAGACAGCGGCCGAGGCGGAGCCCCGAAGCGCAGCCCGCCGCCAGGCGACCGACAGGGTGCGCATCTCGGGTGGCCCGCCTCGCCGACAGCTCTACAAACCTGCCAGTCCCGCTCCCCGCGTTCGCCTGGAGGCACCGGACGGGGTCCGTCCGACCTGGGGGGCGAGGGCGATCTCGACGACCGCGGCAGATCGCCGCGAGGGTCGAGGTCGCCCCCCGCGCCGAAGACATGGCCAGAGGGCAAAGGCAAGGGCGCGGGCAGCAAGCCGAAGCTGCAGCCCCAGCCGACGTGGTCCGCAAACGGGGTGATAAGGGATCGCCGCAGTGCTGGCGCAACCTGCGGCAGGCGAAGCGCCGGGCGGGCAGCCAGGCACGCCGCCCGCTGCCCCCCCCGCCCCGGGGGCCACCGCCTTGTCCGGGTGGGCGGCGAGAGATCCGGGGGGCTGAGTAAGGCAGCAGAGATGCCTGGGGCGCGGTTCATGAAGCCGCGACGCCAACCGCCATCGGGAGTTCCCCTTCGAGCCCCCATGACGTTTGGAGTGGCCCACGAGCGCCCGCTCGGGGACATGCGACGTCACCTCGAATCGACGAATCTGCTGGGAATCAGCATGGCTGAGTTCGGATCCCTCTGCATTCGCCGCCCCCCTCCCGGGGCGTCTTCCGGGGTCAGTTGAGCGGCGGGCGCAGACGGCCCAAGCGGGCTCGGGGTCTCGCGGCTTCTCGCCGCTGGCCACGTGGCAGGACAGCGGGTGGAGTGAGGGGGGCCAACAGATGTCCGCCTGCGAGACGCTGGCACGTGGCGGCGAACGCGTAGGGCGCGGGGGTCAGCTGCCCATGCCCAAGGGCCTGGAAACACGGATTGGCGTGAGCATCCGCGATCGCCGACCGCCGATTCTCGCGGCAGGCGGCAGTGCCAAAGGGGCAGACGGCTCAGCGGCATCCGAGTCCAAATCTTCTGGCGGCTCGAGAGGTACGTCGAGGCATTCCTGGGCAGCGCCGCGCCGCGCCTTCAGTCGCGGCCAGTTTCGGCCTTCTCGGCAACAAGATGGGCCGGCTACGCCGGCGACGCGGCGACGCGCGCGGAGGGGCTCAGATGGGGGTGGGCCCCGCCCAGCCTCCCTTCGCGCGAGCGGCGCGCGCCCTTGGGCGTCGCGCAGATCTGCGACCCTCGCGTGCAGGAGTGGTTCCGCCACCCCGCCCTCGGGAGAGGCATCCTCGCCTTGCCCCTTCGAGAGTTAGACCGCCCCCAGGTTTGCGGAGAGCCTCTTCTGAACGGCCTGCATGTTTGCAGCGCCGAAGGGGGCGCCCGCGCTTGAGAGGATCCCGAAGGTCGCGAGGTGCCGCGGCCCATCATGAACGGCGCGGCTACGAGCGCGGCGCCCGTCGAGTGCGATGGTGACATCGCGGCGCTGCCGCAATTCGCGCAGTGGAGGTCGCTTCACGTTGGCCCTCGCGAGGAGCTCACATGGTCCTGTGACGACCTGAAGGGCGCATTCTACCTTTTCGGGCCCCCGAGCAGCTGGGCGCCACCCCTCGCGTCCGACGCGCTCTTCAGCGCGGGGGGGTCGGGGCTCAGCGGCTGCTGGCCAGGTGGCGCGCGCCTTGGGTCGTCACCATGCCGATGGGGCGCAAGGGCGCGATGGGCCTGGCACAGCGCCTCCACAGGCGGATGCCGGCGCAAGGGTTGCAGTCGCACTTCGGCTTGCCGCGAGCGAGGGAGATCCGCAAGGAGAGGGGGGGGGCCTGCTGGCGAGCTCACAGCGCTCTGCGGGAGCTCTGGAAGGTCTACTGCGACGACGCCGACTGCGTCGAGAAGGTCTCGCGCGGCGCCCGCGGCGCCGCCTCCGCAGCGGGGGGCGAGGACAAGCGAGACGAGCGGGCCAAGACAGCACGGCCCGCGCAATGTGCCTGAGACATGTGCCGCCCCCTCGACGCCCCCCAACAGCGAGAATAATGGCGCGCGGGTCAGCCGCGACAATCGGCTCGGCGCGTCTTTCGACGGCCGAAATGGGCGAGTTCTCGCCCCACCGGCCGGGGCAGGCTCAGTGGCCCAGCTGACGGCGCACCTCCTGACGGCCAAGGGGGTCGGAAGGACGTGCAGGTCACGGCTGGTCGCTGGTGCCCGCTGGGCTGCTTCCGCCGCGAGTGATCGGCCGCGTCCGCGGAGGGTTGGAAGCTACTCGCGAGGTGGGCCATGTCCAGACGGCAGCGCTTGCCTTCCCGTGTAGGCAACGAGTTCTGCTCGGCGCTGAGCCTGCCCCGGCGGCTTTGGGGGCGGGCGCGCGGCCGTCGATCGGCCTGGGATCGAGTTGGCCGCGCGCGCAACCGCCGAGGCGCTTCTTGAGGCGCGCCGCGTCTAGCGGCAGCAATGGCCCACCGCCGTCGAGCTCGGCGACACATGTCGCCATGATAGATCTGGCCGCCGTGCAGTCGTGGACTGCGAGGGCCCCGCAAATGC